CCCCCCCGCTCCCCCTCCCCGGAGGAGGCGGTTCGCCCGGAAACGCCTGCTTCCGCAGGAGCACGTGGAGGAGACGCTCTGTCCTGGGGCCTCGAGAAGGGGAGGGTGGCCCAGCCCACCTACCCCATGGCCGAGTAGAGGGTGCCCCAGATGGGGCCCAGGGCCCAGCGGGGCGGGTGCCACGTGGGCTTCTGCAGGCTGGCGTACCAGCGGAGGCCCTCCCCGCGGACGTAGTAGTACGAGCCCAGGAAGCCCCCCAGGCTGGGCACCAGGGTGAAGCCCACGGCGGGCACCCAAGTTGGGGCCATTGCTGCTGCGGTCACGGCTGCTCTGGAAAGTTCTGCGAGAGAAGACAGGGGTGGGGTGGGGGGCACTCCAGAACTGGGGCGAGACTTCCCCAAGCACTGGGCAGGGAGGGGCTGGGTTCACCCCGGCAGCCCCTGCCAGCCCAGTGCCATGGCTCCAGGGAGCACATTTCCACCCAAAAACTCCTGCCCCCGCCCCCGCCCCCGAGGCTGCCCGGACTGGCAGGAGCCACAGTTGGTCCCACCTCAGCTCCTGCCCCAGCTGCCAGCGTCCTGTACTCTCCCTCTCACCCTCACCCTTGACCTTGGGTCTCCTGTCAAGTGACCCCTCTTCTGATTCAAGGTCAGTTCGTGTCCCCTCCACCCAGACGGCTTCCTGGCCCTTCCTCCCCAGGCCGACTGACAGCCCGGCGCTCTGAGAGGCCTGCATCGGTCCACACCCCGTGCTTTATGTTCTACTGCTTCTCATTCCCTCTCTCACCATTCCTTCACTCATTCACTGATTCATTCATTCACTCATTCAATAACTGGTATCACACAGAGCTTGGCTCAAATCCTGGCTCCCCACTACCTCCCTGTGACCTCAGGCAAATCAATTCAGCTCTCTGGGCCTCAGTTTCCCCCTCTGTAGAATGGGATATCAACACTGCCTGCCTGGGCCCAGCCCAGTGGGGGAGTATCCAGTTACACAGGTATTTTACCACCACCCTACAAGCCCACCCTCAAATCACCTTCCCTTCCCTCTGTCAGAGAGGGAAAGCCGCCTGCCTGGAGTCACACAGCACCCTGGGGCCAAGCTCTGCCCAGTCAAAAAGCTGCTCCCACCCTGACACCTGGGCTCACGGAAGTGGTGGGTGGGAAAGAACAGGAGTTAGCAAGAGTTCAAGGCTAGCGAGGGCCCGTCAGTCACCCTGAGAGTCTGGCAGGGCTCAGGGCAGGGAAGGTCCCTGTGTCAGGCCTGGGTGCTGCCGCCCCAAGGGCTGGGGACCCAGTCATCAGGTCTGTCCACTGTGCTCATCAACTATGTCCCCTTCCCCAGGGGCCCCAAGGTCTGCTCGAGGACCTACTAGGCGCCCAGCAGTGGGTACAGCCCCCAGCAGGCTGAATTGCTTGTTGGGGCTGAGGGTCCAGAGTGACGGCAAGGGGGTGGGGGGTCCCTGGCTGGTCATCTCAGGCCAACTCTGACTGGACCTGCTGTAGGACCCTCAGCCCGTGAGCACCCCAGCTGGGACTCGGTTTCCCCACCATAAAATGAGGTGGCTGGGCTCCCACTGCCACTCTCTGATCGTAACTGGAGAACCTGGAGGTGTTTGCACGAGATAAGTAGCCATCCAGACTGAGTTCAGCAAACCCGCAGCTTGACCTGCTAGGGTGGGGGCTGGGGACCCAGGGTAGACGGAACAGGAGAGTCCTTGCGAGGGGCACAGACCTCAGAAAGGGTACCCCCAACCCGGGATCAAGGAAAAGATGGTCCTGGCAGGACGGCGAGCACTTCCTGCAGGGGGACACAGGAAGGGAGAGCAGTCAGGGAATGACAGGCAAGGGTGGGCTGAGGGGGTCGCCTGCCTGCGGGGGAGCAGATGCAGGGAAAAGGCTGTGCTCGCTCTGGAGGCCCTGGGGGCCATCAGGGCTTCAGAGCAAGGGGTGAAGGCTGCCCTGGGGAGAGGGGGCAGCTGCCGCCTGGGGCTCCGTGAAGCCCCATGAGATGCAGAAGCAACCTTCATGCCCAACAAGCAGGGACCATGAAGGCCTGGTCGACCCCCAAATTCAGCTTTTGAGGACTCTAATAACGTGAAAGTTGTTCTCAACATAACGTTAAGCAAAGAAAGAGGAATATAAAGTCGACTACAGAATGATCCCAATTAAAAAAAAAAAAAAACAGGGGCGCCTGAGTGGCTCAGTCGTTAATGAATCATGACCTGAGCCGAAGGCAGACGCTTAACGACTGAGCCACCCCGGCGCCCCAATGAGCACCATTTTAAACGGGACAATCGGAGAGTGTTAGGCAGCAGGTTCCAGCTCTGCCCTCTAGTGACTGACTGATTCCTCCCTCCTCGGCCTCGGTTTTCTCACCTGTGGAATTGGGACAGTCCCTCCATCCCCCAAGGTCAAGGCACAGGTGCACTGCGAGGATGACCTCGCCGAGGGCTGGGCATGTGATGCGGGGGCCCAGCAAGTAGACGTTCCTGTCCTCCTCCCTCCCCTGCCCTCCTGCCCTGACCTCTGACCTTCCAGGGTGCACAGGACTGTTCCCAGGTGAGCGGGAGGGTCTGTCTCACCACAGTCGGGAGGCCGCTGGCCCCGTGCTCCTGCCAGGTGGATGTGGAGCTCCGGACACCGAGCCCGGGGACCCGGCCACCCAGCTGGGCTCACCAGCGGGCCACCTGGGGCAGGCTCAGGCCTCCTTAGCTGCTTTCTCATCTGTGTCACGGGGGACACAGCCCTGACCAGCCTGCCTAATAAATATGTTGGATCCACAGCAAAGTGACAGTGTTTGGGCCACCATAGGAGCTGTGGTCAGAGCCCTGGGCCTCCCCTGGAACGTGACATGGCTGGGCAGGTGGGAGGCCTTCACACCATCCTGACCCTCACATGCGGACAGGGAAACTGAGGCCCAGAAGCCGAGGGGAGGGTTTGGGGGTCAGGCACCGAACTGGGCCAGACCTCGAGTCTCCTCAGTGTGACATTTTGTGCCTTTTCCCATGACACGGGACGGTCCCACTTTGTACCCACTTTGTTTCAAACTGATGGCCCCCCTCACCCTCCGAAGCATCCCTCCTACAGGCGCTCAAGGTGAATGCGGCCAGGACAAGACACACGGGCATCACGAACCCCTGATAAGAACCGCAGAGGTGGGCACACTTGCTGTGGGTATTCTTGCCCAAAACGCAAAACCCCAGCCTAATCATGAGAAAACCCCAGACAACCTTGGGTGGAAGAACATTCTACAAAACTGGTATGCCCACACTCTCAAAGGTGCCAAGCTCCCAGGAGACGAGGAGAGATGGAGGGAAAGGTCACTGAGTGAAGCAGACTCTGGAGAAAGAACAACTAAACGCAATGCGGGATCCAGATGTGGTATTGGGGTCTGCTCGACAGTTTGTGGGAAAACTGGTGGAACTCTAGGGAGCTGTGGTGGCGAGCGCCACACCACGGTGACTTCCCAGCTGGGGGGAGGCTGTGCGGGGGACTCTCTCTACTACATTTTTTTTTTTTTAAGATTTTATTTATATGGGGCGCCTGGGTGGCTCAGTCGGTTAAGCGTCTGCCTTCGGCTCAGGTCATGATCCCAGGGTCCTGGGATCGAGCCCCACATCGGGCTACCTGCTCAGCAGGATGCCTGCTTCTCCCTCTCCCACTCCCCCTGCTTGTGTTCCCTCTCTCGCTGTGTCTCTCTCTGTCAAATAAATAAATAAAATCTTTAAAAAAAAAAAAAAAAAAGATTTTATTTATTTGACAGAGACACAGCGAGAGAGGGAACACAAGCAGGGCGAGTGGGAGAGGGAGAAGCAGGCTCTCCTCTGAGCAGGGAGCCCGATGTGGGACTCGATCCCAGGACCCTGGGATCATGACCTGAGCCGAAGGCAGACGCCCAACCAACTGAGCCACCCAGGCGCCCCTCTCTACTACTTTTGTACCTTTTCTGTACATCTAGGATTAGTTCAAAATAGAACATTAAAAAAGAAGTATCCTGGTTTGGCTAACAGTTCGCACTGTCCCTTACTTCTGCCCTGACCCCAGCCCCAGCCCCCGCTCCCCCTGCCCCCAGGGCCCTCCGAGCCTCGCACTTCCACCACATCACTCCTGCTCTGAGATTGTCAGTGGGGTTCCGTCCCCGGGGTTTTCTTCTACTTTTTTTAAATCGAGGTAAAATTTGCATAATGTCAAATTAACCATTTAGAGTGCACGATTCAGTGACATTCAGTACACTTCCGATATCAAGTTCCAAAACACTTTCGTCACCCCAAATGAACGCCTGTACCCACTGCAGTCACGCCTTGTCCCTCCCTCCCCAAGCCCCTGGTAAGCAGCAATCTGCCCTCTGTCTCTGTGGATTTACCTTTTCTGGACATTTCATGTAAATGGAATCATACAATATGGGGCCTTTGGGGTCTGGCTTCTGTCACGGAACATGTTTCTGAGATTCACTCACATTGCACCACCTGCCCATACTTCTCTGCAAGGTTCTGTGGGCAGGGGCACTCCTGTCCCCCTGCCACAGCACCCAGCCCGTGCCCAGGAAATGCCACACAGGACTTGCCCACGGTGCCCGCTGAGTGGACCCTAGAGCCCATCAACCAAGCCCCCTGCTGTACAGAACAAACCACGGCCCCAAGAGGGTGGTGGCTTCCCTAAGGCCTCAGTGACAGAGTAGGGTCTGAGCCTTGTGTTCCTGCCCCCACTCCCGCTGCCCCTTCCAGAGCCTGGCTGTGTTTGATATTTCACTGGGCCTTGGGGATCAGAGAGTCTGCCCAGCCTGAAGGTCAGACCAGAAAGGCCAGATAGAGACAGCCCAGTCAGGGAGCTTCCTGTGGCCTCTGGGGGACTGCCCAGCTCCTGAATCACCCGACTGGGGGACCCACCAGGCTGAGTCACACTAGGCTGGGCTGGGCTGGGTTAGCCCAGGCAGGCCTGAGAGAGATGTGCTCTGGGATGGGGTCCCAGGGAGGGCTGGGGAAGGTCAGGGAGCACCCATGACTGGGAAAAGACTTGGGATGCAAGCAGAAGGGCAAAGCCACTCACAGACCCTTTCCTTCCATCAACATCAGACAGTGACTAAGAACCCAAATGTTGGCTTGCCTCCAATTTGTTTTGTAATCCCAGGCCAAAGCTCCTCTCTGGGCCTCAGTTTCCCTTACATCAGGAGGGTACAACTTGTCCTGCCTGCTTCATGGGGTCATCGGGAGGCTCAAGTGAGGACCAGACAAGTGAGGGGCTGTGGCTGTCAGGGCTGGGGCCACTCACTCCATTTCCTCTGGGGGAATAAGCGGCCCCGTGGCATCTTCTTCCAGGCTGAAAGACATCAGCCATTCAGGCACTGGATGCTAAGCGGGGCAAAAGGCTTCACACACAGCTCCACCCTCGGGCCTGGGGCCACTCACAGACAAGCAATTCTGAAACAGAGGCCGAGAAGGGCCAAAGCAGAGGGCTCAGGACCTGGGATCAGGAGAAGGTTCTAGGCCTCGGGGGTGGTGCTTGGCGGCTCACCCTGATGCTCATACTTCACTTACTCTTCACAGCAGCTGCAGGGACAGCGACCAGCTGCTTCTCCCTGGGGGGCCCTGAGCCACACCCTCCTGGCCTCCATGGTGGACATTACTATTCCCACCATCCAGATAAGGAAACTGAGGCACAGGGAATCCCAGAATTTTCCAGATCTCTATGACTCTGAGGCCCAGAGCACCCCCACCCCTGAGCGGGGAGTCTACTGGCCTCAGCTCTGGGCCACGAGGCCATTTACCTTGATACCTGTGTCACCTCTTTCTCTCAGCCTCCTTCTCATCCCAACATGGCACTTAAGGCCTGCCCAGAGGGCCGAGGGGGTTCCCACCCTACCACAGCGGTCACAGCGGTCACACCCTCTGCCCAGTGTCAGAAGATTCTTTCAGGGCCAGCACGCTCACTCCCTCCAGCCCCAGCACCAGTGTCCCAGCCTCCACGGGCATCAGACCCCTTCTTAGCCAGGGGCAGCAGTAATAGGATCTGAATCCTCCCTGTCCCCCCAAGGGTGGGACTCAGGATCTCCTGTCCTTAAGGAGCTTCGCTCCTGCTCCCCGCCAAAAGACTCCAGACCCATTTCTGGCCCTAAGATCTCACCTCCCAGGCCTCTTTTCCCCATCTGTGAAGTGGGGGCTCAGCTAGTGAGTCTCTGGGGCATCCTCCTGTTTCCAGAGGCCTCCCTATAGAACGTGGCAGAAACTGCACCCCAGACAGAACAAAGAGTTTGTTTCTCCTGATTCTCTCCTCCTCCCCCCAGCCGTCCTAGGCCTTATCTCTCACCCAAGCCACCCGCTGTCCCCGGGACTGGTGTTAAGGCTCCTTTCTTTTTTAAAATGACTCACAGCTAATCCTCCGCCTTATAACCTCTGTGAATCTTTTTCATTATGCAAGACCCAGTACAACAGCCAACAGGTCAGGAAGGATCCATATCCAGCTGGTAACCGGGAGGTCTGGGACGGGGTGGGGCTGGGAGTGACAAGGGGGAATTTGCTCCGTGGAGAATGACTACTTTTTTAAACACAAAGAGCATATTCAGACACGGCTTGCACAATCAGAAGTAAGTAAAAGTACAAATAAAAAAAACACAGATTCCAAAACAAAACAATGAAAAAGTGAAAGTGTATAGAATAAAAAGGAGGCTCCCTCCCTTGGAGCCCAAGCCCCTCACCTCACCCCTGAGCAACCCATGGCCAACGGTTTCTGGCCGATCCAGCCAGCTACTGTTCAGTCACTGACACAGGGGTACAGAGGACGGAGCAGGGCCTTGAACCATATGGCTCCCCAGCTATGTGACCCTGGACACGGGCTCCTGGGTGAGCCTCAGTTTCCCTCAGTTCAAAGGCTCCCCTCTGAGCCTCCCTTTGGGTGTGCTGTGCAGCCATCTGGAAACAGAAGGAGGCAGCCTGCCCCCCGCCCCCCACTCCGTGAAGAGGCTTGCTATCCCCCCACCCCTTGCTCCTTGGGTCCTTTCAAGGCAGCGCCCTTGCTCCATGAAGCAGATATCCGCCCCTGCTGCCCTGCAGGGCTCCCCACTTCACCCCCACAGAGGCACCGGAGGCTCGAGGCCCACATTCTGCCAGCTAAGTCTTTCGGTCAACGGCCTGCTGCGTGCCAGGCA